CCGGGGATCGAACCGGCGACCTTCCGGTTACAGATGCGCTTCCAAACCGCTTCCCTGAGTCACGGTCTCCCCGAATGATGAATACATCAATATGAATTAAACCTGGCTCTGATTCCAGCCCCTCTTGTCTTTTTAATGATAAATATGATGGTTTATACTTACTTTTCATGTTCTTTGGTCCCCTGGATTTAACAATTTAGAAGTTGGAGTTGTACTCAAAGTTTGTTAAATCTGCTTTCTGGACCAAGTTCCAGAAATGGATTAACTGACCTAAGCCTTCTAAGACTGACATTTAGCTAGTTTATTAAAAGTGAATGGATAAAAATATCAATATCAATATGAAATCACAGATTAAATTAAGACATTCAGTGTAAGTGTTGAGGTACACGTTTTCATTCAGTCTGAGATTTCCTGATAGTGGCTGCTGAAAAGCACAGTTATAAGCACAGTCTGTGTCGGTTTTGCTTTTTCCAGGTTTTGTCCTGTCACATTCCTTTCCTGGTCAGCTCAGTGGAGGATTTCAAGGACCACATTCCCCGAGAGACGGACATGAAGGTAAAACACACTGACGGGCTCGTCGAGGTAGATACGTTTCCGGATGTCTCGCTCTTTGCGTTCACGTGGATGTTTTGTCTGTTTCCAGGTGGCCATGAACGTTTACGAGCTGTCCTCAGCAGCAGGTTTACCCTGTGAGATCGACCCGGCTCTGGTGGTGGCTCTGTCCTCTCAAAAGAGCGGTGAGTCGCAAAAACACGGTCACACACAAACACCATCCAGGAGCCACGCAATTCATCTGTATGACCATCACGATGTTTGTCTGCAGAGAACATCAGCCCAGAGGAGGAGTATAAGATCGCCTGTCTGCTGATGGTCTTTGTGGCAGTTTCGTTGCCAACACTTGCCAGCAACGTGATGTCGCAGTACAGCCCAGCCATCGAAGGTAGGACACCAGATTTGTTAAGAAGATCTAGTTAAAGTGACTCTCACACAGATTTTATGTTTGCAGTATGAAGTGCAATAAAGAGAAGGCACGAAACTTCAAAGACTCAAAGTGGCGGTTCATCCTAAAATCACATTTCTATATTTTCCTGTGGCCTGCAGTGCTGTGTCTCCATCTAGACTGCTTGGTGTGAGTCTGCCAGCTCTGTAGATATTATTAGCAGAGATGTCTGCTTTCTCTTGATTCTAATAGAAAGAAACGCTTCTTCCATTTTGGTATTTAAGGTGCCAAAAGGTTCATTCGGAAAAACTCAGCATTAATGTCTCTTTCCACAAATTGTGACCCAGTTACTCGGAAAAAACACACCAACCTTGCAGCGAGCATTTTCATGCAGGGACTACTTTCTGTCTTGCAAACTATGTCTGCCAGTCGTATCTGTGTGCAGAAAGAAGGCTGTCGTGCGCCAGTGACAGCGAGACAGGATGTAAAATTAATGGCATCCCCCCCTCAAGCTGAGCGGTAATGATAGCTCGCTGCTTTTTTTTTTTTTTCATTTATATGGAGGATGTAGGCAGTGGAAAGAAAACGTGTAAAAGGCTGGTGTTGTTTAAAAACTTTTTCCTTTTCATTTTTTTTTCCTTGTTGTTTGAGAACCACAAAGGAAGTGCCACCTAGTAGACGGATTTTTAAAACTACTACAGGCCAGAGGTGAAGAGGAGAGTGCAGGCAGGGTGGAGTTGGCAGCCTCCCTCAAGATGCTCAGATTTGTTTGGTTGGGAGTGACCAGAACGGACATGACTAGAAATGAGTGTATCAGAGAGA